CATGCAGATGACCATTGTGGCAACCTAGTTATTCATTAAATCTTTGAAATCAAATTTATTTAAACTTAATGTCTTAAAGTATTGGGATTATAAATAACTTATGGCTTGTACTTTCATAATCTTAAATGGGCCAAGCTTCTATAGCTTATTTCTTAAATGGACTATAGCAACCAAATTAAGAATATAAAATCTGTGACATTACACAATCAACTTCCTCTACTTGCATGAGGGGAAATTGCATAACAAGAACATAATAATTACCAAACAAAATAAAATCATTTGAAATTTATCTATCTAGCTAATGGAAGAGTACAATATACATAAGCAACAAGTCTGGGCATTTCTCAGAAAAAGAAAAGTGTCTGATAGTAATTGATTGAGACAGTGGTTCAAAAAGGTTAAATAAGTAAATAGATTAAAAAAAGATTTCAAATTGAAACAACATTAAAATGGGTAAAACCAGTTCCAGGTGAACCTGCAACTCTCCAACAGGTGCTTCGTTCAGCCAAGAAATGAATGAAGTCGTACAACTTTGCACTCACACTACGCTGCTGAGAAAAAGGAGAAAGTTTTCATAAGTCAACTAATATTTCATAAAATTAAACCATTAACAAATAGATTAACAAAAAAGGAAAAGAATCAATGGCTCAAGCTGCTTTGATTTCAAAAAATTGAGGGAAAGAAAGCAGTTACTTGGGCCAAGATCGGACATCAAGCCCAGAGAGCTTAGATTCAAGAGGGTTATGGACGACTTTGATACTCAATTTCTACATTATTATGCTCTCGCTTTCGGCTCCTGTTCTTATTTTCACACATAAACCTCTTCTTGTGATGCTTATAATATTTTGTGGTGGTGATTTGGATAATAAATCCATTCCCAATTGTTGAGGTGGTGGCTTTATTGTGGGAAGGGGAAAGGAGTATTGTAAGAGAGGAAGTGATGAGAGAAGAGTAAGAGGCGAAGACGAGAGAAGGAAAAATTAGGGCTAATGTCAAAACTAATTTGATTCTGATGAGTGTTTCATTTAGTTTGGATTTGATCATTTTTAACATCGTTTGATACACGTTGCAAAAGGTAAAACGTTGCAATGATGAAACTTTTCGCAACAGTCAATAAACGTCGCAAAATGCCATATATTAAGAGTTTCAGCAATAGGCGTTGAATGTTGCTATAAAATTATATTTTAACAACAGTTAGCGAACTTTGCAAGAAAGAAAAATTTTTGCAATATTTAAAGAACATTGCAAAAAGTGACATTTGCAACATTCATTGAAAAAATGTTGCTAAAGCTCAATAAATTTAACCAATCACAATATTCACTTGTTAGAATGTTGTCATAAACCCCTTTAACAACACTTAATTAATAAATGTTGCCTTTCTAGTGTTGCAAAAGAGCATTTTTGCTGTAGTGGTTATGTAACCTCTTCAAAATTCACTATCCACAAGTATTTATGCCTCTCTAATGTTTGTTTCGAATTTGGAGTCGTTTGGGTTTTGAACGGGCCAAGAATTTCAAACCCTAGCAAATTTGGTGCAGCACCTAGGTGCTGAAGGGGTGGCTTCTAGGCGCCACAGCTCTGTTAATCTTATGCTTCTTCTGGCTTATCACTGCACTTAGGAGCCATACTTCTGTTTTCAATTTCTGCTTTGGTTGGAGCATGGGTGCCCCGTTTGTTGTTCAATTACTCAATTTTCTCCAACTTTTGTACCATTTACACGAATTCACCAAACATATAAAACAACCCTAAAACACACATCAGAACACTTTGAAACTCATAAGATCTAACAAATTATCAAGTTAAAATGATACGAAATGCACGAGTTAAACACACTCATCAATGGCCAACAACTACACTTACATTTTAGAATGATTCAGTTTTGGATGCTCGACCATCAACTTGGCAACACGCAAGCATAATTCCAACGACTCTTTCTCTATGTTTCATATTCGAACCCAAAGACTTCTAATTCATTTATACAGCATCCCAAAAGACTCATTCACTTATACAACTCTTTTATAATAATTCTTTTGTCTAAAAAATAGCCAATACAACTTAAAACCTAACAAAATATAAGTTCCCAAGTTAAGTATCGAAGGCTTAATCAGAAAGTGCATCATTTTGACTTTTGTCACTGCTTATATCCTCACGTAGACATGCATATGACCTTTTTTTTTCCCTTATTTCACATGACTCTTTTTTCACTCTTTTTCTTTTGATTTCATCGCACTTGTAGGTAGCTATTTTTCTTAGGCATGATAATGTCAATGATATGCCACTTTTTCCTGTTGTTTCATATCTCCATTCTAGGGTAGGTAGCACCGCTCAATGCCTATTTTTGATTTATTTTAGTTATTTAATGAAGGCTACCTCTTCATACACTTTTACCTCAATCTTTCTTGACCAGTGCAAGGCCTTTGTTGGGACAAATAATGTGAATTAGACTTCTCATGAATTATTCCTATCCATGTTCTATATTTAAGCCAAAAACACCACAATTGTTTTCATGCACAACATCAAC